TGTCTCCATTTTGGGAGAGAAGGAAGACGGAGGGGCCCCAGAGGACCAGCGCCAGAGTTAGCTTTAAGGGTCCTACCCGACTGTCCCACTGCGCTAAGAGGACACCCTTTCTGTGCAGTTGAGAGTTCTGTGTTCATTTCTGTCCCCCGGAGCCAGGGTTGGTCAGTGCCCTGTACAAAATGGCATCCTTGGCAATCAAATGAACTGAAGCTCGAAAGATGGGCGCTGGGAAGGTGGTGATGCTGTGTGTCGAGGAATGAGTTCGCCATCCCTTCCATTCCAATACTGTTTGTTTTCATTTTAGGTTAGGAATTTTGAAACTTAATTCATCTATCCCCATGTTCACTCAGGACTAGTGACAGGAATGGAATGGCACACAGTAAAAGGAACACATTTTGTTACGGGTTTTCATGAAGGTTGTCAAAGAAGCAGTTCAGAATTCAGTGGAGACCTTGGAAAACTTTTAATTATATCTGTTCAGTGTAGGTAACCAAGCAGGACAATCCGTGTTCTCTCCTAGTCACTTCTCACTCCCACAAACACACACACGGCTCATTCACACACAGACTGTCATTTAGGAGCTTGGATTACCAGTGTAGGTGATTACCCAGCTCAACTCAAAAAGCTAACTGTTCTGTAGCTGTTCACAGTTTTGTTTTGCAAACAGAATTTACGCAAACTGACTCTTTCTTTAGCTCCAGCAGCCTTTGCGGGAGGTCAGCCATGAGGAAAACCCTAGGAATTACAGTTTTAAATTTGTCATATGTCCTAGCTTACTGGGCGCCAGCCAACAATGAGAGCTGCACCTATAACCACACTCCAATCATCAGCAGAGCTAGTAGATTGGGAATAAAGTGTCCCCGCAGTTTGGGTACGGGACGGTGACACGAAAGAAATTGCAGATTAAGTGAGACCATCACTTGTAGGATTGCAGGATGGAAGAAGAAAGAGAGAGTGAGCGGGCGAAGTTTATTTATGGAATGTCAGGGGGCCCTTGAGGCTCAGCAGGCCCTAGAAGCGGAGGACTTCCCTGGGTGCCTGTCTTCTCCCCCTGACCTTGGATGAACTAGCGTGCAGTATATTATGCCAGGCGATTGTGCTGGTTTGTCATGGTTAGCATTCTGGACTGTCACTGGAATGTAGGAAATGGATGAATTTGAATTGAACCATGAGGTGGTCTCCGGGCCTTCTCCTGTCTCAAGGAAACCTGTCGCTGTTTGTCTGGGCCTGGCCTAATGAAAGCAATGGAGGGAAAGAGAGGTGGGCCTTTGATCTCTTTGTTGCAGCTGCTCCCTGGGAACTCGCTGAAATCAATGCCCTGTTTTCCTGAAGGAATGAATGGCTCTGCCTAACTAGCTTTGTGAAGCCGTGGGGGAATTCACTGCCTCTGTTTATTGACAGCTGAAAAGGAGCACATGGGGTGGAATGGACCTTCTTGTGAAAACCAGGCACAAGGAAAATTAGACCTCAATTTAACACAGAGGAATTTGGAAATTTACCCCAAAGGAGACGGTGGTTTCTCATGCTCACATCAGAATTACTCAAGTTTGGGGCTAGTGTGTAATGAACAAAGGACATTCTATCACAACTGTGTTATAAGTAGGAATATGGTGTGCATAATAAATGATGTTAAGTAGAAGTTGATCCAACACCCTTCTTCTTTTTTTTAAACACAGAAAAGGAGAAAGACAAATATTAATCATGATATAATCAGGTAATTCTTCTATTTTTGCCTGAAGAAAATAAAAGATATTTAAAATAGGCATTATAAATATAGTACTACTAAATCTCTAAAGTGTGTCTTCTGTTCATCTGTGTTTCAAAGCATCTTTGAACTTTGTATCTAACTTTCAAGAATGCTAGCTGTTCATGTGGTTCGGGATTATGTGTGTTGCATGGGGGTATCACAATACATTTATTTTAAAACCATATTCTTGGGATATTTTAACTGAAAGTTTGTATCAAACATAAATGGATCAACATATAGCACTTGCAATTAGAACAGTTCGTAAATCCTAAAATGATTGCCTTACTTTTGAGAACAGAGTGAGGAAAAAGTCTTGAGTTGATCACAAGGAAACAACAGCCTAGCCTGCCTTCTTTTTACATCTCCCCACTTGCTCGGTTTCCCAGGAAGAATTTATGGCGTCTTCCCTTGGCCCCCTGCGCTTTGTGCACACCTCTGTTACCGCACTGACACATCGCCCTGCGGATCTTTGTTGAAGTGCCTTCTCTTCGCTGGAAGTTAAGCAGCTGTGTCGTATTCATTTCTGTATCTCCAGGCCTCGCAGAGCTGTTGGCTCAGTGAATGCCTGCTGAATGAATGGGGATTCATAGCTCCCTGCACATTACTTTGAATGTAATTACTTATCCAGGCTTCAACTGCAAATACTACATTTTAAGAAAACCTGATTGATCTGTTGTTACCTGATTGGCACTATAGCCTTTTACAATCTTTCCTTTATGGAGAATTATTACACAGCTTTTTTGATCCGGCAAGTTGGCTGGGCAGTCCATCAGCCTCTGACCAGGAGGCATAAAAAGTACAAGGCATTGTCCTTTGCAAAGCCAAGGTCTCTTCTCTAATATTCTTTCCTAAAAATAAATCTCAGCACAGCTTTTAGACATTTGCAGTAAGAAGATGAAAACGCTTTTAATTTAGAGTTGTGTAGACGTTCACTTAGCCAGATTTAGTGATTGCGACGGATAAAGCTTCCATTTTACATGATTTAATTCTTTGATGTGATGTTAAATAATGCAAAACAAAACATCATTTGACAATATCTTTAACCGGATTTACCACCACTGTGTGTTATGAACCCCTATCAAAGGAAGCACACACCGTCACCTCCTAGTGAAAAGCGTAAGGGAAGTTTTGATTCTAACGGCCATCTGCTATGATCTCAGAGGACCTCAGCACAAACCCAATTTCTGATCTGTTCTCAAGTTAAAACCTTTTTTTTTTTTTTAAACCAGGGCTTTAAGTGGGAAATAGTTGTCAATATTCTCTGGGAAAATAACATCTTAACATTATAATTGGAAATTTTAGAAAATGATGGGGGGGGGGGTAAGTAAGCACACGAGTACAGGAACTTGCTGATATTTTACTCTCCATGTTGTTTTATTTTTACCACCATGATTATTTTTAAAGAAATCTGTGTGGTTTTCTGTTTTGATTAAAGGTGTGGATGAAATTTAAAATGCCGGTTTATGAATTTGTGAGTGGGGGTAGGTAGCAGCCTTGCAGAGGAATGGACTTCTGCACGTCTCCTTCAGAAGTAGCAGACTCAGCAGGTGGTGATTCTCCTGCGGTTTGAGATTCCTTACAAAATGGGAAAATTACCATGGCCTTGATCATCTGTAGCTCTCACCCCCTTAAGTATTAACTTATAGCTAAGAAAGCAGTACACGTGGCACTTAAGTTTTATAACTTGGCTGCTCAGTCTTCCCAGTTTCTGGAAGTACTTTTGCGTGACATCATACCGAAGTGGAGAGGGGTCAAGGGTGGGAGGGGAAGTAGGAAATCAAGCCACACTTTTCCATAGGATGGTTCAGCTCTTACAGGTGAGGCCTGTCTTTGTCTGCATGGGTAGAACTACACACAGGCCCAGGAAGTGACTGCAGTTGAAAATTGCATTCTTGCTATGTTTATGGAATCAGAAACTTTAACTACATTGTCCTCCATCAGAAAGACTTTTCCCCCCCACTCAGGACTGAAGACTACTATAATATCCAAGAAGTAATAATTTAAGAGTCAAGTAATTTAAGAGTCAAGCCCACAACATGGGTTTGAGGATCAACCTATATTAGGTGTCTGTATTTGTGTGTCTATTTATTTTCATAAACCAGGGGTGGGGAAACTTTTTTTTTTTTTTTGGCCAAGGGCCATTTGGATATTTATAACCTCATATACGGGCCATACAAAATTATCAACTTAAAAATTAGCCTGCTATATTTGGTCAAATGTTTAATTAACTCACCAGTATTGTGATAGCTAGAACTGCTTCTCTTTGATGAGACGTGTGATGTTAGCTGGTATTGATTTCTTGAGACTTATAAGGCTGGATGTTCCCCACCCCTATAGAAAGATACCAGAAACTTCCCTCTTAAATAGCTTCCCATCCATCCAGACTGACCAAATGAAGCAGCCCCAATAAAGCCTATTAGTCATTGGAAGGGACACATCTCCTTACTGATTAGATGGAATTGCAAGAAATGCTATTCTGAAATATAGAATTACTAAAAATTACCTTTACTGGGTGTGCTGACCGTCCACAGTTCTGCCCTGTAGCATCTCCTCTTAGCAGCAGCCTCGTCTTTGCACAATTTGTTGTTCACTTGCTTGTTTTTCTGGGCTTATAGTGGCCCTTTCTTCCTCCTCAGAATCCTCCTCCCCTCATTTTCACTTCACCCTCAGCCCTGCTCAGGTACGTGTTTTCCTTCCCAAAGGATAGTGTTCTTAGTTGACACTTTTTTTTTTTTAAGATGTCATTGTCATCTGATTTCTGCTCAAGGCTGTGAGGTATTTTTTTACCTGAATTGTGGTTTCTGGAAAATAACTGCAAATACTTGAGGTCTCCCTACTTCACCCCTCGGTGTCAAACACTTGACTCAGATTAACTCGTTCAATCCTCAAAGGCTCTTGTGCCATAGGTACGACCATTGTCTCCATTTTGCAGGCAGGGACACTGAGGCGGGGGGGCTACGCAGATGGCATGCGGTGGCCCTGGATGAGAATCTGGGCTTCCTGGCACCACTGCCGCTGCACTTAACCACATCACTGGACTCCCTCTGCTGCACTGCAAGTCCTTGGAGCACTGAAAGGTGTGCCTCCGAGCTTGGAGTGTGCCCCCAGGGCGCTGACCGAGAGCAGTTCGATTTCGCCATTCCCGAGCTCCCATTCTATATGAATGTCTACTTGCACAGTACCAAGGTGTTTTTTTTTTCAGTGCCTCTTTTTTTTTTTTTTTTTTTAACCTTTTGATTTTAACCCCCTCTAGGATTGCTCTCCGTCTGATGTGGCCTCTGTTTCATGTCACATCTGAAACTCCTCTGTGCTTCAAACTTAGAAAGGTAAGTGTGTCTCTGCTGGGCCGTCTGACTGCCCGGTCGGCCTGCCTGTGGTCAGTGGGCGTCTGTGCCCTTCTCGCTGCGTCAGCGCGTCACAGCCTCTGCCTCTTTCCCAGGAGGTGAGGTTTTACACAACTGGCTTTTATTCATCAGGACTTGCTTATTAGAAATGTTGTGATCTCCCTCCCTTTCGTTTTAAAAAGATGTTTTAACGCTGTTTTATCTTACAAAACAAACAAGTAAGTACCAGGAAGAAATTGGAGGAGTTGCCCTTCTTTCGGAAACCCACTTAGTAGGTGCATATATTACAGTTCAGAGTCTCAAAACCATGTCCTAAAATAGTGATATGAGGTGATTCTCCATTTGCATATGTTCTGTCCAAATTTCCTGAAATTGTGAAATACGTGTTAGGAAATAAGTGCCCCTAAATCCAGTGTTTATTTGAGGGAACACATGGTTGGCAGGATCCACAGTTTTTATCTCTTATCATTCTCCATACATCTGGAGATTATGATTTGTATTAAACACCTATTTCAAAACAGTAATTCCTGCCTTAAATTTCCTATTCAGCAGTTTGCTTGTTTTTCCCCTGTCACATACATTCTGTTCTGTTTAAGCCATTGCCTTCTCACCCTACAGCAGCCCGCCCCCTGTTTTGCAGCTTTAGTGCTAACGGTGTTGCTTAACCATAACTTGGCCTCTCTCCAAACATTTTTTCACAAAATGTCCTTGACTGTAATATGCCATAATTTTTTTTTTTTTTAGTTTCAGTGTTCTTTGTAAGTTTTCTTATATTTCATCTTACACTTGAATTTTTTTCCCCCTAAGCCTCTCACTAGATAAACCGCTTCCAAATTTATTTGCCTCTTGGGGCTGACTTCTAGCAAAGCTATCTGCAGCTGCTGCAGTTGGAAGGCCTCGGCGAAGAGAGGATTCGATGGGTGTGTTTAAATTCCTGTTCTCCAAGTAATTCTAGTTGAAACTAGTTCACTTTCCCACCAACACATACAAAAGGAAAATTCTAGCAATATCCAAAAATGCCAGAATCTCTTCTATTTATCCTTACCCATAACTTGATAATACTGGTAAGACCAAGTTATGCCAGGCCCATTTTTAATTGTTTTCTTTAGTTAAACATGACATTGTCATTAAAAGCGCAACTAATAATATTACACTGCTTAATAATTTAGAAGTCTCCCAAATATATGACATATATACCTCAAAACATGCAAGAAAGTGGAAATTTCTTTTGTAAGTACATGTTAGGAAATGGAATCGTATTACGGTGATCCAGTTTAAAGACAGACTGTTGAAATGAATCAGTGATTTATACACTTTCTGTTATGTTTTCTTCAGAAACAGCTTATTAATGTTTTTTTTCTAACTGTGAACTTAACCTGTGTGTAAAATCGTTCTTGATACTTATTAACAGACCATGTCTACTTTGTACATATACTTTAGACTCTGTACCAGTCATTGTGCCTGTTTGTACATATGTAATGTATAATCTTTTAACAGTCTGCAGGGTAGAGGGATGTCACTGTGAAGAGAAGTCAGGGAACTTGCTCAGGTTACATACCTGGCAACCAGCCGAGCCAGTATGCAAACCCAGAGCTGCCTAACTCCACAGGCCTTCTCCCCCACACCAGCCGGCTCTCTCAGATTCACAAGCACCCCTCGTTTTATTGCTGCGTCACTGCACTTTACAGGTGTGTTTCTTACAAACTGAAGGCAAGACCTTCCACCAGCAAAAAATATCGCAACTCATTTTATTGCGATACTTGCTGTATTGTGGTCTGGAACCCAACCTTCAGTGTCTCTGAGGTCTGCCTGTATCTGGTGGAATACTATCAGTTGGTTAATGTTTTTAAACTAACTGTAGGAACACAGCCTACTCTTGAGTAGAGTATGCTTCTCGCATAGCGGAATAAAGGAGATTAAATGTATTACCACTTTTAGGTAAGAAAAGTTACTAAGAAATATTAAAATGTCTTGACTTTCTGACTCCCTGAACAAACAAGTTAAAATGAAGGCAGTTGTCGGAGTAAAAAGAGTTAGGGGTCATACTATAACAGTGTTAAACATCATTATTAAAATTAGTAAGTAAAGCACATTTCTCAATGTGTTTAAAATGATGTTACACGTGTTTATACTATAACAAAGTGTACTTTATTTGGGGAATGATTTAATTGAGCCATTAGGTGTCATTGACCAAGATAATGTTTTCTTTTTTGTTTGAGCGTAGAAATTAAAAGTGATTCATAAAACACACCACACACACACAGAGTCAACTTGTAACTTAGAACCACATTAAGAGGGTCATTTCTTGTTCTTTCCCTAAAATGATTCTCATTTGCCTAGTATAGTCAACTCAAAATGCTTAAGAGTGTTGTTAGTTTTGATTCAGGGAAGATTCAAAACTCTCCGTGGACAGTTTTATGGAGAACCTTCAGTGTTTAGTTATAGCAGTTACTATTTTTTGTGCTTTTTTTTGTTTGTTGCCATTTTGTGTTTTTCCCTCAAGGAAATGACCATTTCACTGGTTTTAAGGTCTAACATGGATGAATCCAGGAGCATGATCTGTGTTCTCCAGTCTGAGGTCTCTCGTAACAAGCCTGAGCATGTTGCTCTCCTGATTAAAACCTTTCAGTGATTCTGAGTATCCAGGACTCCTGGTTGCAGTCGACAGAAACAAAAGGGGCCATTTAGGAACTCCAAGCAGCCAGTGACAGGAGCATGTTTTCCTGTTGGACTCACTCTGACAGGAGGTGGTAATGAGGATGAAGGGGATCCAGTATGGATCTCCCGTCTTCTCTGAAGCAACGTCTCTTTCCACTGACCTGACCCGACTCCAGGCTGTAGTAGGTTTAAAGGAAGCCACGTGAAAATTGAGTTTGGCTAATAGAATGGGCTGGCCCTCCATTCTCCAGCATACTTTCCCACCGCTCCTCACCCCCACCCCATCAAGTTTTAGGGTACCACAGATTAGAGAGTAGTGTCCTATAAGTGGTTGGCCTTGTGAGGTGGTGGGGTTGGGGATGGGCCATGTGAGTGTCATTTACTGCCTCCTTCTCCCTCTTCCGTTCTGGGCCCCACCTGTCTGGTGTGAGAACGGAAGCCTGTTCCACAGAGGCCCAGGCCGCCCTTGTGAGACCAGAGGGGTTCTGGCTGCTCTGGCTTTCCAGACAGCTGCCTGCTTGCTTCACGTGCCCTGTTTGCAAGGTCTCTTCTTGGGTACAGTTTAATACAAACGACTCGGCTCCTAAAAACTGCAGTGCAGAGGGCACCGTCTTGGCACACTTTGCCTCCGCAACAGGGCACTTGGTTCCCAGGCAAGGGCTCCTCTCCCAGGTCCCTCTTCCCCCCCCCTCCCCCCCGGACGTGCGCCTCCTATGCGGGGCAGACTTCGGGAGTGCCTGTGTGGCAGGAAAATGGGGTTCCCTGGTTACTGACTCTTGTACATCTGAAGTTCTTTCTGCCCAAGCTCTGTTGGAAAGTCCTAATCTCTGAGGAATGGCTGCCATATCTTAAGCCCTCTCCAGTTTTCAGCGGGGCCCTCATAAGCCTCATTGGAAGGTCTCAGACGTTCAGCCACAGAACTGCAGTGGGGTTTGCTTTGAGGACATGACTGACCTCAGAGTCTGGACTCCCTTAGACATTTCGTTCAGTAGCACAAGTACCTACCATTACTGCAGCGTCTGTGGATCAACAAACTTGTCCTAAGGATTTATATCCTTTCTCCTAGGGTGGGAACCACCCCTCCCCCCAGCCACCACAGTTTTCAGCACACGCTCATTTCCATCTTCTGGAAATCCACAGCCCCACTCCCCACCCCCATGCTGGTCTGGAGGCGTGTCCTCGTGTGGGAAGCAGGGCTGTCCTGTGCCTCAACACTGTGGCACTGGCTTCTCTCTTTCCTCTTTCTGGTTGACTTCCTGGTGTTGTTTTTTTCCCTTTGTTTTTTAAGCAATTTGGAGTTTAAGATAAAGGCCTTAAGATAACTTTCTTTGCCTCTCCCTTTCCAGGTATTTGCATAGGAGTCAGAAGAGTTAATCTGTAAGTAAAGTCTTAACATCTGCTTGCTTCCTCCCCTCCCTGTGCCCCCTGAGTTCTAAAGCACAGCCTGCCCAGCGCCGTTGCAGAGTCCTCTGGCTCCTCTCTGCAGCAGGGCGGGCCTTCTTTGCAAAGCTGTCTGGCCTGTATGAGGGTTGCAGCTAGTCCGTATCGCCGATGTGCACTGGGCCAAGCGTCTCAGCACCCGTTCGAGGCGCCCACAAGCCTGCCTGTCCCTCCACAACTTCAAGTCTGCAGGACGCATCCTCCTCTGTTCCCCACAACTACCTTCATTCACACTTCAGCCCGTTTGGCCGACCTTGAGGGCCATTTCAGGGCAGTCCTTTGTAGGTGTAGGGGAGAGACTTGCCTCTGGCCTTGGGCATTGGCGTGGTGAGCTCCTGAAGCCTCGGGGCACCAGGGGAGGCTGGAAATGTCTTGCTGAGGTCTGGCCGCCCTGAGTGTCCCCCACACGTGTCCTCCTGTGGGCTCTCTGCTGCCTTGGGGAACAGCTGTGCAGGGCCCCTTGCTGGGGGTGACAGGTTTACTCAAGTGAGAGGCCGGTAGATGGGTTTGTCTGCGGTTTGAAAGTTTAGGATTAAAGATAGAGATTTGGGAGACCTGTGACCTCAAGGAGGGGTTGGAACTTTGCGTTATGAGCACTGTCCCTTGGGGGTTGTGAGAGAAGGTGGAGGACCAGGTTTCAGGCACCAGATCCATTCAGATTTCTGGTGACCTCTGTGACATGTCCCTCTGTGTTGTACGGATATGAATACCCCATTTAGGGTCTTCACTTCAGAGGTAGACTGTTGTTCACTGTGGTCACCTCAGTGAAATAAGATGTCCTTGTCTGTAATCTACCACATCGGCAGGGCTCCTTTCCATTTGGAATTATGGACTTTAGGAAATAAAATTGGAAAACTTAGTTAACGAGGCTTTTCGAAAACAAACCTTTTCCATCTTCAGTCTAGAGAATCTTTCTCTGAAAACCAAGGCAGAATTCCCAGTGTTTGGAGCTTGCTCAGTTCTTTCCCACTCAAATCATTAGAAAAAATAAATAAATAGGTCAGTCTGAAGAATTTACTGAAGCAAAATCAGGAGTAGTGGAGGTGAATGAGCTGAAACTGGAGGGAAACCCCTTTGTTCAGTTCGGGGTCTCGGTGAATGCTCAGCAGGTGGCTAAACCAGTTCATTAACAGAAAAGACATGTTCTTAAACGCTGCTCAGAAGTAAATGCCTAGAAAAACATATTGTGACAACCAAAAAATGCATTCCAGAAATCATCTGCTCTTGGTTAATGAAACTCTAGTTTTTGTCATCAATGAAGAAGTACCATTTACCCCCCAATAGTTCCCCATTTATTTAAAACAATTAACTAGAACCAATCTGTCTACTGTGTGCCAGTCCCCATTCCTAGGAAAACATGATTTTTTTCTTCCTGCTCTGGAGCTTGGAAACATTTGTATAGGAATGTTGAATGTTGTAGGGTCATTTGTTTCACCGTGTACATTTTTTAAAAATATTATTGACACATTAAAACATTTTTCTCTGATTTTGAAATCTAAATTCAGACGTGAAAAGCAGTCTGCAAGTAGCATCCTGTCAAACTTAGATGTGTTCTTTTCCGAACTGTCTCTTCTGTGCTGTATTAAATTGTCCTCTGCGGCCCAGGATTTCCCCCAGGGCCATGCGTGCTCTTCGGCTCTCGGTTGCATTGTGAACTATTTCAGCGTTAGACTGGTGCTGAGATGGCAGGTGGGAAAGGCCAGGGACTCGATCTCCTCCGGGCCAGGCGTCTCCTCTTTCACTGGTGCTGCTTGCATTGAACAGCTTAAGAATAAGCTCCTGTGTGAGCCCTCGGAGGCCGAGAAGTATTGTTGAATGCAGAAAGGAATCGCTTTCTTGTAGTGATCATTTGAATATCTTGACAATGAAGCTAAGCTACTCCACTGCCTGGTTTGCGTACTTCGTGTCATGTGCTCTCTTTCTAGTGAAGCAGAAGAGGGCTTCCGCCCCTCTGAATTCATAACTTGGTATTGTCTGTGGACGATATGGGCAGGAGCAAAGGAAGGATCATCCAGAATTCCACTCTCTCACTTTAATGTTTTTTAAAGCCCTTTTTAAAAAAACAAAAACAAAAAAACTTTAATCCAGGCCTTTGGAGACCAGGATAAATGTTGACTATTTTGAGAAGAGGGACAGACCATGGAGATGATTTGTGAAGTGTTTATACATGCAAACTGAGGGATGCACTTAACACAAATTCTCTGGATGATTCAGACAGAACCTGCTCACCTCCAGCTTTTTCCTGACTTGTGGAGGGTTATTTTAAAGATTTAGTTGTCTAAAATGGCCTTAATTTTTCTGATTTTTAACTTAAAAGGATGTTCTTGTGCAAAATAAACAGATATAGCCTATTTTGATCAAATTAAGAAGAGGCAACCAAGTGAAAAAAATCACTTAGGTGAGCTCTAATTGGCTTTGTTTCATAATACATTTATCTTTGAAAAATCCGGAAAAACTTTTCACCTAAGAGGATCAACTGGTTGGAATTGTCTTAGCTGGAAGGAGCCAAGCTTTATAATTAATTGGTGAACATAGATACCGGTTTCCGAATGCTCACCAGGGATCAGTAGTGCAAAGCCACCTGCCGACTCTGCCCTGAAGACGTGGTAAAACGTAAATCCCGGGCCCCAGGGATGCTGTGTCAGCCTGTGTCGCAGACGTCCCTGGCGTTCCAGTCCGTGGCCAGGTTTGGTCACCACTGAATTGTGAATCGTGAAGAGCCCCTAGGCCCTTCCACCCTGCATATTCGATAAATCAGTATGCTCATATAAAGCTTGTGTTAAAAATGAATGCCTACTAGTTATTACTGACATTTTTCAATTCATAATTTGTTCCCAGTTTTGTTATTACATAGATTTACATACCTGTTTTATGGTATTCTAATACTGTAGATTTAAAACACGTTTCCTCTGAGTGCTGTTTTGAATATTTTATGTAAGCAGTTTCGTGGAGTTTTTTTCCCCTAGTTGCAGAAAGCAGGGGGAGATTTCAGGGTTTTTTCTAATCCAGTTGCAAGTAGGACAAAGGATATGATAGAAATACTTAAAGGTCTTCTTGGGCAAGACTATGTGAAATATTGAAAAGCTTCTAAGTTACAACATTATGAACTTCATGACACCTTTTAAACATTATCAGATGACCCACATGTTTTAAGACTTTTGCCACATGGTTTTACTGAGATATTTTAAAGTTAAGAGTGGTAGGTCTGTCTGTTTAAGTATTAGACTGCAAGGTTTTAAAGTTTAAAATTGATCTGTCGTTTGTTAAGATGCATGGAAAAGCAGTAGAAAGTCCCCTTTGCACATTATCAGTTGAGTGTGCAGGCTCTTGAAGGGCAGCCCCAGGGGCAGCGTGATGGGGGACCACTTTCCCAGCTTCATTCACTGCAGATGTGCGAGCTCTCTTCCTACAGGTGTGAATCCTCACGTTTCCGAGAGGACTCCATGACCGCCTGACCGCCTGACCGCCTGACCGCTGACGCTGACGCTTCCTGTCACCCAGTAGGTATGCAAGTGACGGTCGCTTTTTAAAATTATTCCCCTCTGGGCATGTTTGTTAATAACTGCTTGGACACACATAGGAAAATTAATCAAGGACGTGCAGGCGGTTCAAGGTACTTCAGACAGTCTCCAGTAAAGAATAAAAAGACATTTCCCTCTCAAATTGCAAAAATACCTTAGGATAGAATTCTTAACCTTTTCTTTTTTTCTTAAAGCATGTGTGCACTCTGCATTTCAGGGAATCGGGGTGCAGTTAGGAACGTCTCATGGCCTCTGCTGTCCCCCACAGTCCCCGGAGCGTCTGCAGAACCTTGGGCTTTTCTGCTGACAGCCACGTCAGTTCGGAAGCTTTAAGGCTGCCCCGACTGCACCCTACCTTGTGTACATAAGGGGCTGTGTAAAGGTCGCCCTCCCTTTTGTGGAAGATGTTCACCGATAAGCCTGAGGAAGATGGTGGTCACATTCCAGTAGCACTAGGGAATCCAGCTACAGGTTCTGAGGCTTTATTTAGAAACACTGTAGTAAAAGCTACCGCGGAAGTTTGACACTACTCGGCAGACAGCTTAGCGAGGGGGTGCCAGGCACCAGTGGACAGTGCTCGGCGTAGCTCCGAACACCTGGCTTCGGCCTCTCGTCACCATCGTGGTCCTCAGAAATGATGTTCACGCAAGCTAACACTTTGGGGCACTCGCTGTGTGCTAGACGCTTGGCTTAGGACAGCTCGTCTCCAGCAGAATCTATTCGTCAGTGCCTGTGGGTAAAGAACTTACCTCTCTGAACCTCAGTCTCCTCATCTGTTAGATGGGAGTGAAAGTGCCTCTGCCCCTCCCCCAGGGCTGGCCGACGGAAATCATTAGAATAGCATGAGAGGGCTTAATGAGGCCAGCTGAAATATATTATTGTTTTAATAAATATTACTTTGGTTCCCTTTGAAATATAATGTTCTTACTAAATAATATTTTAATTTATTGGCCAAGATATTGAAATTCATCCCGACATGCCAGTGTATCTACTGGCAACAGAGAAAGGCACTAGCAGTGCTAATGAGGTGGGGGGAGCAGGGAATCCTGCCATATCTCTGTTTACCGTGCGATTGACATCGGGAGATTGGGTGTGATAACCAGCAGGATCCTGGAATGTGTCTGCCCAGGCGGTGGTGGTGAGGCTGTGGGCTGAGGACAGGTAGGGGGTGATTAGACGCCAGGCCGTAGACACAGAAGCGGACTGGGACAAGCCCAGGCAGGAGGGACAGTGCAGTCTCTAGGGAGGCAGGAAAGGAAGCCCGATTGGAGACATCGCTATAGGCTACTGGGAAGGAGCAGCAAGCATGCGGCGGCGGGAAATTGGGGCTTATTGTAAGCAAGGTGCCCGGCCTCCAGGGCGACTGAGCACAGACCCGCACATTGAAGCCGCCTGCGGATGGGCTGTGGGATGGACCACACATGTGGATTCCGAGGACAGCTACTTAGAGAGCGCACATTCCTCCCCATTGATCGGGCGTAATTGTCATGGTTTGTTAAACAAACAAAGGAGCCGAAGCTGTGAATGGGGGAGAGAAAAGACAAGGTGAAAAGGAGAAGAGGCCCTGCTCACTAGTGTCCCACTCTTTTGAAGCGTCCCCCTATTTCCTCGGCATTCCTTTCTCCCTTTCAGGGAGGCCAGCACAGGAACTTGGGAAAAGCAGCCTTGTCTCGCTGGTGTCATTCCCTTTGACGATCAAACCTGACGAAATGTTTGCCATCGTCAAGTTAAAACAGAAAAACGAGGGTCATCTGAAAGGATAAATATTTACATGGATATCCTAAATATAAACCTTTTTATATTTCAAATTATTTCTGGATGAACAATTTGCTTTGCATCATTTGAACTCACGGACGTGACATGGGGAGGCACAGAGAATCCTCACCGAGGCCCCGGCGGTGGTGTGTGTGCTGAACGCAGCCTTGGCCTCAGAGCCGCTGCAGGAGGGCGGAGTGAGAGTGGGTGTCGGACGGCTCGCAGTTTATAGTCAAGTTTATAGTGAAGGGAGTTCCGGGTGCTCAGCCACTGAAAAAGCTTGGAAAACAATAGCGTGAAGTTGTCCTTTAAAACTGCCAATTACATTTGTATCCATTTGGGTAATCAGATTTGGTCACAGGCTCATCTTGTCAGAAAAGACCATTTAGCATTTCAGAAGTACTTTCGGCTGGGCTGTGCCCTGGGGTGATGAAGCCGTCCAGGGGCCAGGGGCGGATAAGTGATTGCTTGGAACTGTTTTCTTGGGTAAGGCAATCTGCTGATGCACGCCCTCACTTTCACCGGCTCCTGGTTCCCTCTGGGAGAACCCCAGATTCCGCTCCTGGTGTGCGGGATCCTTTGTGTTTGGGGAACAGCCCCCTTTCCAGGCCCCTCCGTAGTCACACCTGCAGTCCAGCCAGACTGACCCCCGAGATCCCTGCAGCCCTGTGCTGCTTTGTGCGCCTTTTTTATTTTCTTCTGTCTGCCCGAAATACACCGCCTCCCGTTTGCCCACCTGGTACACGCTTAGACTCAGCCTAAGTACTCATTATCAAAATTTAGAAAGTGTAAATAGTTGGAAAGGAAAAACAAAGAGAAGTTATCTGTGATTCCACCCCAGAGATACTTTGTTGACCGTGTTTATCTCTGTACTTTCAGGCCCTTTTCTGTTTGTTTAGAGACTCTGTTGTCTGTGACCACGCAGCCCCCGGCTGAGGTCCTTTCCAGAGCTCAGTCTTTACGTTTCCTTCGAGAGATTTCTGACTCATGAATCGGGCTTCCCGTCACCGATGTGACTAGTCTGCTTTTTTTGTTGTTGTTTCTTTTCTCAGTTGAGCCTTTACCCTCACACACTTCCTGGGAAGGACCGAGGCTTTTCTTCTCCCTAGAATGCTAACCGTGTTGGGACAATGGGCCCTGCCGCTAATTAGGTAGTTTTGGTTTCTCCGTGCCCCAGTCTTCAAGGCCCAGGAACAGAGATCACGGCTGTCAGCTATAGAAGCCTCCCCTAAAAGGGCCGAAAGGCCAGTCGCTGAGGATTTGTTGGGAGGGAGGAGGGGGATCTATTTTCAGCTGTCACAAAGGAATAGTCCCCATCACTGACTTTAATGACTAGAAAATCTTCTCCTAATACCAAAGGCTCTTGTCTGGATTTCAGGACGGCTCCCTACCCCTCACCCCCAGCGTGCCACCTAGAGTTCATTAATAGTCCCCTTACAGCTAGGCCTTCCATTTCAGCACAACCAGTCCTGGGCTTCGCACATGCCTCTCGGGGTACGCATTCCTATTTTGCTTGTTTGTAGACATTTGATATTCCCTCCTGAGTGTTTATCTTTAAAAACACAGTGTATGTGGTGGGGAGAGGAGGCTGTGGAAGATTTAAGGAGCCCTAAAGAGCCTCGTTCTCTCTCCCTGCCCCCCCTCCGCTCCCCCCGATCACGCCCTCTCAAACCTTCTCCTCCAGTGTACTTTCCTGAGCTCCAAGGGCCCTTCTTTTGCCTCTGTAACTTGTTTCCTTAGCCCGTGTCTTTATGGCTCATTTTTACTACTTCTGTAACTTTCTAAATAAACTTTCTCTCATAATCTGAAACAAATAATCTGTAAATGTGCTCCCTTCCCTCCTGTCTGCCGGGGGGGGGGGGGGATGAAAGCAGAACCATGTGCTGGAGAAGCACTTCTGCCCTGTCCGGGACTCCAGCCCTGCAGACCTCGGCTTCCGCTGTGCAGGAGGGAGGCGCTGGGCTGCAGATCTCTCTCGGTGAAGCACCCTTGCAGCCATGGGTCCTGGCCTGGGCGTCCCTTTTCGTTGGTGGTGTGGCTTCTCTTCATCTGCTGAGGCTCTGTGAGGCTCAGTTCCTGGGCTTCTGCCTTTCCAGGGCTTCCCAGGGCTTCCTAACCATTCCCGGGGAGATTGTTCCGTTGTCCTTCTCTGCCTGTCCTAGCTTCCCCTCCCACCTTCCTCCCCTCCCACCTTCCTCCCCTCGCCTCAACTGTTGAGTCAGTCAGGTGTGATCTTCAGTTCACTTAACAGACTCCGAAAGACAAAGACTCCCATCTAAACAGCCTACCTTTTTTCTGTGGTGTGGTCAACCAAACAGGGATTTTGAGCTAGTAGGGTCTTATTGTATATGATCACCAGTTAGAAATTATTTTGGAACATCTCACCAAGTTTCTCACTGCAGACTTCTCATTTTGCTTATCCTTATCACCATTGACTTGTCACTACACTGTTACTCAAGAGGAACCGGGGGAATTTGGAGGCAGAAGGCTCCCCCTGTCCTTGGAGCGGCTGAGAATTACGTGTCCCCACAAGCCTGCTTCCACCCTGTTCCACAAGGCAGAGAGATCTCCTAAGGGAGGATCAGTCTGGCTGCAGCCTGCCATAAAGAAAACAAAGTCCTCCTGGCCCCCAGGACAACCCACTTTCCCAGACCACTCTGGGTTGATCATGTGAGCATACTGATGGGCTGAGGCCACCCATGTCGAGCTCAGAAATGTATAAAGTCACTTAGAGAAGCAAGAGTCACAGTGGCATCTAGTCCCTTGCATCCAGAGAGCATGCTCTTATGCTCTATATCATTTGCTCTGTTGGGCTCTAGGAGGACCTCAGCTCTCCTCCTTGCTGGCCTGGACACCCTGTAGGCACCATTACACTCAGCATATCAAAAATGGAACTGCGAACTCCAGTGTCTTGCTGGGTGTTCCTGCTGGTGCTCATCTTCCCTTTCCCTGGCACCCCTTTTCTCTAACCGGAGTTCTAATCTGATGCTCTGTTTACAAAGTGTCATTTCAGCCTGCCCGCTCTTCCTTTTCAGGCCGCTGTTCTCTCTCCTGCGATACGGCAGAAGTGAGCCGGTGGTCTCATCACCCCTGGTCCCGGCACTCGCCAGTGTATCTGATACATCCCTGCCATAGTTGTTGTTAAAAAGAACCATCTGACAAGCCAGTTGGGTATAATGGGTCCCTGTTGCCCGGCCCCCTGGTCCTCAGTCTCGGGTCACCCTTGCC